TTTTTTTTTTTCAATAAATAATTTTTTATGTATCTCTTATTCATTTTATCTATTTGTCACCATATACTATCCAAAAAGGAAATAATGTCAATAAAAGTGACAAATATTGCTATCTGTAATTAGCAATTAATTCAGTAATCATATAATTGTAAGGTAATCCTAATCGTATGATTGTAAAGGTACATTTCATGTAAATAATTTGTAAAGGTATCACATCGATGTTAATGAATAGCAATTGATAAATGGTAATCTGGGTAATGTAGGATAAATAGTAATCTAGGATAAATGTAGGATCTAGGATAGAACGATTTTGGATGAGCTATCTTTTTGGTTGTAAAAGCTTTTAAACTCCATCAATGTTAATTGATCTATTTACTAAAGTAAGCACAATTCTGCATAATTTGTATATTTAGTTTGTATCTTGATCTGTATTTTGTATTATGATTTGTATTTTAGTTCAAAGATTATCCGAATTCCGCATGATTCGTAGATTGGTTAAAGATTATCCGAATTCCGCATGATTCTTATATTAGTTCAAAGATTATCCGGATTCCGCATGATTCGTAGATTGGTTAAAGATTATCCGAATTCCACATAATTTGTATCTTAGTTCAAAGATTATCCGAATTCCACATGATTCCTATATTAGTTCAAAGATTATCCGGATTCCGCATGATTCGTATATTGGTTAAAATTATCCAAATTCCGCATGATTCCTATATTAGTTCAAAGATTATCCAATTCCGCATGATTTGTATCTTACTTCAAAGATTATTCCAATGATCTTTTCTAATAATTAAAAAAAAAGGCCCATTAATTCTTTTCCATTATTATAGCTATCAAAAGAAGCTAAATCTTATCACTGTTATTTTTCTTAATCTTTTTCAGCATTGTCTTACAATTACGGTGAACGCTACCCAGAAATCTGTTAGTAAATGTAATCGGCGTGCGCTTCATGTAAATAATTCACCCCGTCATCCGTACATGATTCCAATTGGACGTTTACGACGCTATAGTACCAGTTCAACTTCAACCTGTAGTAGTAGTAGTAGTAGTAACAGTGAATATTCACAACCATCACCAAGTTATAGTATTACTTCTTATGAATCATTAAGTCCAGAACCGTTAATTTCTCCTTACACCACAACTGATTGCCAATCACCTCATTTAGTACCACTAGATCCAATAATACCAACACCACCAAAAATAACATCCACAATTACTACTACCACATATCGATCACCAGAACGAGAAGCACAAGTTTTTGAAAGGTTGCGACAATTGGTACCAATGTTACCATTTGATAGAAGTGCTTATCAGGTTTGTTACAGATTTTTTTTTTTCCATCTTCTTTATTTCATTCAAACTAAATAAGCCATTATATCATTGTAGAAAAAGTTTCCCATAAATCCTGAACATTTCTCATAAATCTTTCGGAAGATAATACTAGTATTCGTATACTACTATACCTGTCCTATTATCTTGACCTTAGTTATTATTGCTTACTTATAAATTAATCGAACTTGGACATTCATAGGAATGCTTAAATTTGTAACTTCACTAATTAACAAATTTTAGACAGGATTTAAACATGAACAAGATAGGATAAGATAGTTCAAAGAATTCTACCAGTAGTAGTAGGTGATAATTTGATATATCGTTAGATAGAATTATATACTTTTTGCAATATCCTTCATATATTATCTTTCATTTCTTAAAAATTAATACTAATAGTTTTGCATACAATGTTTGGCAAAGATTTGAAATTAATTTAGAAATATTAAAAAACATTTTAAGGTATATTTTTTAGGTATTCTTTGTTACAGATACTAATAGAAACAGTTTCACAAGTGATGGATTTAGAACAACAACTTGAACAATTGAATGAACAAACAAATAGCGCCAAAAATAGTCTTTGGATTGAGCAACGAAGTCTCATTTCGGATGCGGAAAATGTTAGTAGACAATTTGAATTTCCTACAATTACTGTACCTTCCATTTTTTCCGCAGCAAATAGGATCGTTGACAATAAGACTTTACCTTATTTGTGAATTTCCTGGATGTTGACAATTAGGAAAAAAAAATGGTTTATAATTAAATTTTCCTTTTTTTTTCTTGAATTTCATAAAAATTTATCTTAATGAGCAAGTAAAAAGTTTTAAAAGAAAAAAGGAAAACATAGAAATGTTAGAGAGAAGAAAAAAGGAGAAATGGAAAAATGAAAAAGATATCACATTATTTAAAAAGAAAAACCTAGCATGATTATGATATTAAATTCCAGTACCTGAGGATGACATTAAGTTCCAGTACCTGAGGATGACATTAAGTTCCAGAACTTGTTCTTGAGGTACTGTAACATTTATCGGTATTATTTGCAAAATTAAAAATAGCGGGGAAGAAGAAGGTGGATGAATTATTCCCTCTTACTTTTCTCGATCCTATTGAAATACATACTGGACGGGGTCATCTTCAAGAAATAGGAAACTTAATGACATATCGATGTGACAGTTCACAATTGAGTTAAGATCATAATACATCCTCATATTAGTTGTCAAGTATTTATTGGTCATATTTGTATAAAATTCATCACCAAAAAAATTTTTTTTTTCTCCATTACAGAGTGTCTTTCCGGATGATTTGAAGACTGTGGATGTGACAGCATTCAAGCGTCTTCTTTGTTCCGATCCTCATCCTGGTGACATTTCAAGAACAGTACACTTTAATTTTGTCTCATAAAAGTGTCTCATAAAAATCTGTCTCATAAAATGTACATTTTTGTTAATCTGAACGCAACTAACCTTAAACAATTATTATCGTAATTTTTTAAATTTTACACAAAAAAATTTACGATTACAAAATTTGTTAAAATTTATCCAATTAAATTTGTATAAATTTGAAAATATATTACTCTAATGAAACGATACATTGTTTTATTTAAATCGATTACATTTAGGTTCAACTAATTACCACATAGTAATTTATTGACTAAAATTTTTGATTAATTAATAAGATTTTAAAATATAACAAATAAATTCATCATAATTACATGCTTTAACCTTTGCACTAACTTCATGCAAATTATGCAACCATTGATTGATACGTTATATTTTCGTTATAACAGAACCATTGTTATTCCTAATTGGTAAATTTATGCAATTCTCAATAATTGAATAAAAAAAAAAAAAAAAAATTCATTTCCTAGAAAAAATTTTTTTTCTCGAAATTTTTTTTTTCAAAAAAAATGTAAACAAACTTTATAAGAATTTTTACATTTGATAAATTGAATGTTGCGCCATTTGATACAATGATAAAAACAATAGTTTCACATTTTTTTTCTCCGCAAAATTCAATGCAAATTTCATATAAACAAATATATTTTAAATTTAAATTAAAAAAAAAGACAAACTTCAATTAACCTATAAGAATAGATTGGATGTAAAAATTAGGAAATGATTTTTTTTTTTGATAATTTTGATAACACTTTAAGATTTTTTCATTAGTTACATTTCAATGTTGCTTATTTGTTCGTTTAAATAATGATTATTAAAATTCTTAAGCTTACTAATTATTTATTCGATGTTTTAAAAAAGTATGAAAATAAGGGATAGTAATAGGATATAATATAATTTTATCAAATAAAATGATTAATAATTACTTCCTTTTCGAAATTTAATTTTTTAATCGAAATAATTTTCATTTAATTTTTGCAATTGAATGAAAAATATTTTAGTTGCGTTCAGGTATATCATTAATTAATTATTCCATTTTCATTGTATATGCTGTATTAATTGCTCATTAATTTTATACATAAAAATAATAATTCATTTGGTGTATTTTTAGTACAAATTTATTCGAATTCAAATTTTATTTCAAAAAATTCAATTACAATTATGATATATTTATTAAAGCAAAAAAAAAACTTTCATTTTTTTGATGCAATAATTTTCAAACAACCATTATAATTTATGCGGCGGGAATTTCCATTTTTTTTTTTTTTT